TTAAGTATTGTGATAATATCGTATCGTGGGATGTATGGTGATTCCCACCTCTAGTGTCAAGCACACTGACCAAGTCTACCAGCAGTACCAGTAAACCCCGGATCTGTTTTTACCTCCTTGGCCGTAGCCGCCTCCGTTATTGAAACCTCTGCCTCTTCCACGACCTCGCCCTCCTCTCCCTCTGCCCCTGGGGGCGCCGACATCTCCAGGTCCAGGGGGTCCCATCATGCCAAACCCTGGCGTGTGCTAAAGAGGAAATGAACATCACTTAAAAGGAGTTCAGCATAACTTTCTGCATACCTGTGTTTCAGTAACAATGACAAAAGTACATAACTATATTTTACAGCTAGTCGACTTCCCCCATATGAGTAATAACACAAGCAAATGTTAGTTATTCATCTTAGCGTTGTGCCGTACCTTATTTGCTGATATCTTAACTCTTTACGTCATAAAGACAACATTTGATGACCTCCCCTGTACCTTTAATGGTGAGTTTCAACACCTCAGTTAATACCAATAAAGACATTGTTTGATGACTATTACAGTAGTTTGTTTTCAAAGGGTAGCTGCACAGGCAGAGACCACCTTCGTCAACTTCTGTTGCAAATCCAGTCATTTTGTTCTATAAGCAGGCCTAAAATATGACAGGAAGCACTCCGCGCAGAAAAGAGCAGAAAAGAGCTTCAAGGGATACTCATGGTAGACTTTCAAGGGTAAAGAGTTCAACTCAATACCATTATACTTTTGCTATTAATAGCGTTAGCAAACAAAACAGTTAACCAGTTAGCTGTAACCTAGCCATAGTTCATGCCATTAGCAGATTAAGTAGTTAGTTACCAGATCAGCTCAACGGTCTGGGTAAACTGGCTAACAGCATCCACTCAAGATAGTATTTTGCTACATAACATGGATGAACTGCAGATGATCTTATCAGGAGAGCCAGCGTTTTCCACCATTAACCAGAAGATTTCCATTTATTGCAAGCCCTACAATGGACTATAATTTTCTCTTGACAACCAAATCCAAGATAGCAGTGGGAGTGGAAGAGAGCATTGAAGAAAGATGCTCATTAAAGTGTTTTTCCCCCCTTTGTTTTTTTTGGCAGATACTTCTGTTGTGCATCTTTCAGATAGAATTCACTTGTCAGCCTGTTAAGAGGCAACTGTCTCATGTTTTTAAGATGTGACACAATCCTTTCAAACATCAGTAATTAACTCAAATAGATGAACAGAGCATGTTTAATTTTAACTCCTCATTTCTTTTATTTGAGCAGTAATGGGGCCATTATACTTGCTGCATTGCCTGTGTCATGAGCTTATTTTGACGTCACATGACAGGATCTTCTTTTGGCACTTCGGCTGGTCATGCAGCTCTTAAGTTGGCGTGTTGTGTGTACAATCGTTACGGCTTTTACTGCCATTTTAATATGATGCTCCAATACAGAACACCCCCCCCCAAACACAAGACCCTACAACTTTACTTCACTGCAAGACGCAAGATGTAAACTTGTTGGATGTTACTCTTTCATCACTGTCATGGTACATTACCACTGAGCTGTGCAGGAACTGATGTACACAAAATACAACATGCACCACAGTTACTTTAACTACAAACATGCTTTAAGCAAAAATCTTGGGCCTGGACTTTTGAAATGGGATGCTTACCATGGGTGGTCCCTTTTTCTTTTTAGCACCCTCAGGTGCAGAGCCTTCAGGGAAGAGCCGTTCCAGTGCAGCCAGAGCTGCATAAGCCTTAGCCACCTTTTTATTGGATCCTGTGCCCTGGAACTTCTGCCCGTCGATCTCCACCTCCATGACAAAACGTTTGTCGTGGCTGCCGCCGGTCTCTGATATGAGCTCATACTTGAGGCCTCGACGCTTCTCATTCAGCTCCATCACTGGGTTCTTGCCGTGTTTAGTGAGGATTGGTCCCTGCTGGCGAGCAGTCTGATAAGAAAGAGTTGGTGGGTAAAATGACACATTGAGCAGTACAGGAAACAACCCAAAAGCTGGTTGCTGACACACATACCTCTGCAGCTTCAGTGCTTTCTGCATTAGCTGCTCCTGCGGCAGCAGTGATAGTTTCGACAGGTGGCACTACTGGCTTCTGTTGTTCCACAGTGTTTGCTACTACTGCCTCGTCTGCTTTTACTGCTGGCTCAGGAGACTTTAGTTCTACTCCAGTGGGCAGGCCCATGTCCTGTAAAACCTAAAAGGGCCCACAGAAGATTCAGTGTAGGTTAAAAAGACGCAAGAATAAAATCTAACTACAAAAAGACAGAATAAGAAAAAGACACTGAGGTTTAAGGCAACAATGAAATCTAATATGCATTTCAGACAGTCTTGCAAATGTTTTGCCTACCTTTACAGCTACGTGCAGCTTGGCAGTGCGTTTCGATGGGCCTGAAGCCTCAAATGTCTTGCCATCTACCTCTACAGCCATTGTAAAGACAGGAACATGAACTGGGCCGGTCTGGGAGATCAGCTTATACTGTAGTCCTGGCTTTAACTGATTGAGCCTCATTAGGGCATTCATGGCTTGGGGAGGCTCAGCCTTCTCCTCTGCAGCTGGTGATAAAGTCAGAAAAACAGCATTATGATAACAATAACAACATACAGTAAAATCAAAATGTTTTACTTTAATTATCAGACTAGTGAAATTTCTTTGACCAGAAAGTGGTTTTAAAAATTATAATTACTAAACATCTTTTTTAACCTATTGAAAGTGAACAAACATCAAAATTGTTAATTTAATTCAAATAGAAAGGAAACCTACTGGTACACGTGCTAAAGGTTCACATGCAACTTGAGCTAAAAGAGCACTTACATTTCTTCTGCAGTTTTTTCTTTTTTTTATTGGGACTCTTGTCATCAGTACCCTCTTCTTCCTCAATAGGCCTCTTCATTGGTGGTGCATATGCTGTGCTGGGTGGGATTTGCACTGAAACACAACAACCAAAGTTGTGCAATGAGATCATTCAAATTATACTAAATACATATTAAATATACACCATGCACAGACAAAACTTCCATGTCTAATGTGCCTTTGTAGACGACTTAAATCTCAGGTTTACCTGTGTAATCGATAGGAGTCTCAGGTCGAGGTTTCTTGGGCATCTTAGAAGGAAGTGGATCCATTCCAAGCACTTTGTGAAGCTGTCCAAAAGCTGACAGTCTTAAGGCATGCTGAGGACAACAAGCACATGATGTTAACTATATACCCATTTATGAATATGCAGAACACAGACTGTATAGGAAAGAAGGACACAGACACGGTGACATCACTCACTGGTTTATGAAGCCCTGTTGTTAGTGTCAGAGCCATTTCTTTTGTTTATTCGTTTATTTTAAGTCAGAAGTGACTATATTTGGACAACGGGTTAAAGTGCTAAGTCACCAGCTACGGCTAGCAAAACTCATCAGCATGCTGCAACCATAAACTGCTTGACTGCATCATAGAAACCAGCTAATTCAAGTTAAGCAATAGAGTTTAAAAGTACTGGAGTTTTTTTTCCCCCCAATGACCCCAATTTTAAAAATATAATTAAAAATATGAAATAAACAAATCTCTCTCCATGCAGATCATGTTAGGCTGTTTTTTTGTACCAGGCTGTAAACATGATTTTTCTTTCTTTGCTGCATATTTGGGAATTTAAACACAGATGTCGATGGACATGAGCTTGCTTTTGTAGCCAGCCTCTTGGGGCCTTTTTGAGGCGCTGCTGCTGCCGCCACACTCGCACACGCACTAACCTGTGCACTTGCTGTGATGTCTTCTCTTTGCTGCTGGTCCAAATGACCAATTGCATCTGTTGGCTCCTTCTCACATGGATCCGAAATTCCAGGCCCATCTTACAACATAAACAAACGACAGCATTGGCGTGTGCTTAGAAATAAGCACACAAACTAAACAAGTACAATTACACTTGCACAATTAAAGTTTTGAGAAGAGATCTCAGGTGTATACCTGCCATGAGGATTCCTGAAGCCAGACATTCTAAAACCCTCCGCAGAGCCTCTCCTGCACCCATGGGCCGGTTCCCTGTGCCAATGGCTTTCTCACAGATCAGCTCCAATGGCTGCAAAGCATGAGAGATAGGATGCTATTTTTAAGCCCAGTTACTTACACAAAGAGATTTCAGGTCATAGTATTAGAACGTGAGATAGTGGTGTCTTGAAAGCAATAACAAAGGAATTTTAAAGTTTCTTTTTTTGTTTTTTGACATTTTCATCAGCCTTAGGCAATATTTATTCAACATATGTGATAGTCCTAAAAAGGCACAATCAGCGCATATCTATCTAAAATTTATTTATTTTTGTTATAAGGCTGTTTTCTTTTACTCACCCAGCCCCGGAGTGGGGCCCATGTGGGGACGCGGGCGCATAAGTCCCTTAGGATCCGGATGACAATGACACAGGAGCGAAGCCCATTGGCTCTAGCCTGAGGAAACAAGAAGGGGTGGGGGGAGGGGCACAAACAGCCTTAGTTAAACAAAAAACAAAACAACAAGAAAAAAAAAAACAACAACAACACAACAGAAAAGCAGACTGTACGCAACAAAAAGCAAGATAAATATTCAAATATGTGGAAAGATAAAAATGAAGCCACACAGACTACAGCAGCTTAGCTTTGTCATTATGGTAAATGTCCAGAGAGATTAGGTGACAGAATGATGTTTGATCGCTTTGGTGGAAGCCTAATTATGTCTGCAAATCAATAGCCAACATGATCGATGGTGTAGTTACTGCTTGTTTCTGTTTGTAGGGGGAAAAAAAGCATGCATATGAATGTGCGACTAAAGCCACCTCAAACTTTATGTCAACTTTAAAATGATTAACAAGTGTGTTATTTCAGAGGATATGCATACATGTGCTGTCATTAAAAGAGGCCATGACTAAGTTAGTGGCAAAGGAAGTTTAAAATATGACTCGAGGTGCAATATTTCTGCTGCTTTTGTGGCACACAGAGTAACAGAAACAGCCAGAGAGCAGAAACAGCTGAGGCCACATACTCTACAATAACAAGCTGCAGAGATGGAGCACTGATCGTTATAGTGTCAAAGCCAGAAATGAAACAGGCGAAAATACTACAATGAGATATAATCAAACACAGTTAACTAAAGGGAACCCTTTCTCAGAAAACTACCAAAAGTGGAGCTTGCGACTTGCAGAAGTGTGAAAATAATGACAAAGCACTCACAGCAACACTGACATTAGAGAAATATTGCACCTGGACAAACCATGGATTAGTTCCCCCCCTCCCCCTTTTTTTTTACTGATTTGAGTTAGAAGCTATTAAGCTAAATGTGAAAACAAAGAAAATCAGGGACTGAAAAGCAACAATTTCTCAGTTTATGAAATGATAAAGCAATAAAAATCTGTTATGTGAGTAAAACAACTCTACAACAGTGCAATGACAAAGGTTTCCTAAGAAACAAACATCCAGGTCATCAAGAATTACTACAGGAAGTACACTTCAAAAGAGTAAATTTTAAAAAAGAAAGAAAAACAAAAAACACATGGAACGCCCAAATAAAAGACAAACAGCATAAAACCAAACTCAAAACTACTTCTGTTTTAGAGACAAATAAAGACAAGATCCAAACCTGGAACCACTTAGCGTGGCGGAGAGACGCCAAGGCAGTTAGGCATTTCTGCCTGTCCAGAACATCCGGGGGATCGTTGACTGAAAGCGTTTCTATTGGCAGGTGGAATAAGAAGACAAGGTACAGTTTGACCAAGGGGAGTTCTGTCAGCCGGCCAGGGGGAACACAGGCAGCCTTCCCAAACCACAGCCAGGAGGGGAAAGGGGAGGGGGACCCCTCCACTGGAGAACCACCAAACGCTCCCAACCTCCCAGTTAATATGGTTTGACATGACCCGGCACGTAACAATTACACTTAAATTCCACCGGAGTGACTGTAATGCAGAGTGCGTTGTAACTGGAATATGTAAAAAAAATAAGAGATTACAAGAAATAAAAATAAATCCCTGACGTAGAAAGGCGACTTTATAAAGGGATTATAGGTTGCATCAAATGGGAGGTTGTCTCTCCATAGCCGCTTCAACTCAAATGGATGCTTTAGTTTCATTGCCTAAAACGGTCTAGTTTTCTTTTTCTGGCGCTAACAGGAGGTAGAGCCCCTCCCCTTCACCCCTAGATTGGGTACACTGCGCTTTGCCCCTTCCGAGACAGAGAGCGGCCAGTTGGTCAAAGGTCCAGCGTCCCTAAAAATTGACAAACTAGAAGGCTTGACAGAGAGAATCAGAATTGAAACCACAGGCAAAAATGATCAGATACACAAAAAGTGGGTATAAAAAAGTCCACACTGCAGCAAAACTGATGGCTTAAAAAGAAAAAATAAATAAAGTCCCAAACTGGGCCTCACTGTGAGCACGAAGCTACAGATAAAGTCAAGGTAGAGGTCTATTGTTGAAAACTCAAAAGACGCAAAATACAACAAATGTTTTGTTGTATAGCTACCAATAATCCAAATAACGACACGTTTCACATTGCCATTAATTATTACTAGCTGACATGTGGGACCAACCCCTGGATTTTTGGGTGTGGTTGGACAGGCAATTTCAAGTGTCCCTTGTCATTATCTGCAACCCCGAGCCTTCCCTGCTCAACAACATCAGAGACTGTCAATAGCCCACTGCTGGGTGTTACTGCACGTTTTGCTACTCATTTTTGCTGCAATGCAAACTGTTCATCATCAATGATAAAACACATGCAAACAAAGTGGTCTCTCTTTTTGTATTTGGTTAAATTCTCAGTAAGCCTTCATTTCTTTGGTGACCTTGATCATTAAGGGGGAAGAAAAAGCCACGTCTTCAGAAGTCAGTAAACTACCTGCCCTATACTGTATATTGGGCCATCAAAAATGTCCAATTACATTACATGGAACTACGAGTGTCTAGAGAGCTATAAGCATAGCACACTTTCATTATGTGACTGCATTTCTTGTCCTCTAGCTCCATTGAAGGCCCAATAAACAATATCTGTCTAGGCTGGTTACCTGCCTGGCCTCCCTGCTGGAAACAGGGTGCCACTAAAAAGAGGGGAAAAAGAAAAAAGAGAAGAAAAAAGAAAGAAAAACTGAGGCTTTCAATCAGGAGCTTACCTCCAGCTGCAGCCCTCTCAATCTCTTCACGGACCAAAGGGGACGTCAGGTGAATTGTGAGGGTGAGAGGGGGCTCCTTGGTGTTCTTTATGACGATGCTAGCTTCACGGATCTGTTGGGTCACCACATACTTGTCTTCTGTGATCGACTGAAAGAAAGAAAACGAGACAATCAGTACAGTTTATAAAAATAAAAAAAGACTTGACACTGGTGTCTTTAACTTATCCAGTCATGAAGGAGGACACGTGTAGGGATACCAAAGACTATACAACTGTAGGATTTCCTTAACAACATAACACTACCCAGGGATCCAGAATGAAAACTTGGAAATCTCTTTTTCCCCTAAATTTGGGTTTATAAAAAGCCCTAATGTCTTGTTTCATTTCAAAGATATTGAGTTATTATAGAAATCTATGAAGTTAGCAAATATAGATTCTTGGTCCTAGATCATTTTGTTTTATTAAAACTGCTACCAGTAACTTTTCCCCAACAGTTTACATACCAGTACAGACGTAATCTCAAGGCTTATATCAATGGATATGTTCTCATCCAACCAAATTCTCACTGGTGAGGCAATCGCAGATTTCACTTTCATAAGAACAAAGGCAACGACTAGCTTTTCCATAATACTCATTACTATCATTGTTCCCACAAATGTGTCCGTCTGCAGACACTTTTGGGTCAGAGGAGTTTTCACGCTTCTGATTAGCTTATTTAATGCTTACATTTTTCTGAAATTTTAATTAAAAAGTACTCCCAAGTGTGAAGGGCTAACCCGAAAATACAAGCTTTCCGGGCCTAACACAATGTTAATTAATACGTTTAAAATACAAATACTGGCAGGTGGACGATTTCAGCCAAATAACATTTTCATTGGTTTAGTGCACCCTTGAATTCATTTTAGCTTTACATTTCCTCTTCCCAGCTCACAGAAAGAGGAGCTGCTTTTGGGTTGGAGTCACTGCTTGTGTGCATGCTGCCAGTGGGAAGTTTTGTTTGTCCTTACTGCACAGGATGACACGGACACCCAGAACATCAGTCATGTCAAAATTGAAAAGAATTTTCCCAACTCAGTTTAATTTCAGTTAGCTTTCAGCTTCTGCTTGTTTCAGTTTAGTCTACATTGTTCTAAAATGGGCCGTTTTAGTTTTTCCAATTACTATAATGAAAAATATGTTTAATAAGGCTAAGACTTCACAGGCATTACAATACAAGTAGCATCACAGCCACGTAGGTACCCCAAATCTCTATCAAGACATGCCCCAAAGCTTCAGATTGATAATGCACCACAAAGACTAAAACTAATATAGTTTATAAACATTTGCTCATTTAATTTGCCTTTTTCTAAATCTACTTTTTATTTTTATTTGTGTTAAATCACATCTAGTTTTAGTTTAGTTTCAAGTTATCTGAAATAGCAATGTTATAGTTAAATAAAACTTTTCAGAATATAGAGTGAATCGTCACACTTCTCACCTTGAGCTGTGTAACAAGGTTTTCAGACACCTTCTTCAGCAGACTGATGGTAGGCTTGTCCTTACAAAGGAGCACCAGCTCTAGGTCCAGGTCCCCCTTCAGTAACAGGCCTTTAGCAACCAGTCCCACCCTCATGACGCCACGCAGAGAGCGGGTGGCCTGATCCCTATGCTCACTTTGAAAAGACACCGGATGCACAGTGGAGAAGAATAAAATGAAACAAAGTCAGATTTGGTTTTAAAAAGGTACTTGTTTACTCACCAAAGTCTCCAACATCTCACCTTTCTTTATCAGTCTCTGTGCCTGAGTCAGACTTTGTCGTCCCCTTTTCCTGTTTATCCAGCCAGTCAGAGACGGCCTTGAGTGCTCTCTCTGTGTGAGACACCATGTTTTGTACACTTTCCAGCTCTTCCTGTGTCGGGTAGATGGCAGAGTGTTTTGCCATAACATGGCGGTCGTCATTCATGAAGACACGCATGGCGCGGTGGCGCATTGGTGGTGGCTAGTGGTGAAAAGAAACAACAGCGTGAATTTAAGGGAACATATCTGTCACATGGCTAGACGAGACTGGTTTTAATCAAAGCATTCCCATCGTAACACTACCCCGACTTCAATGCATGACAAGAATGTGCACGAGATTTATTACCTCGCATTCCACAAATAAAAGTCTAACTTTTACTCTTGAAAATACATTAATACCTCATCTTGAATTACCCTGGGACAATTAACCTGATTAACACACTTATGCAGCAGCTCCTCAAACTTCAGTCGAGGTTCTATTCAGACCAGTTATTCAACTAACTTTACTAATCCAGCTTTATGAAATAGCTCCTGCTCAACCTGGAAAAAACATTTATCAAGATTAAACGAGCCACCAAACTAAGACCTCCTTCCTCTGACCTTGTTTGATGAAATGAAATACTGAACACAGAGGTCAAGCTTCTAAAACTAGTCATTACACAAGCAGAGGGTATGCACAGGCAACCAAAGCCAAATTATGGGAGAGTGATGGCGGTGATGTGAAAGCAGCCAGCATGTGTTCCCAAAGCCCCGGGCATCATGGAACAACAACATGCTGGCTGCATCTGATGGGTCACAATCATTTGTCCTGTTAACACTGGTATTTACTATAAATGCCGGGATATCCTCTGCCCTATAAACAACACGCAGTAAGACTTGAAAAATGAAAATTTTACCATTGCTGTTGTGGAGACCGTGACGGCTGCTTTATCCAGTGACCCACAGTATTAAAACGGTCGTCTTGGCAGCAGATGACTTTGCTGCTGTCCGAGTCTGCAGGACGGAAATTAAAAAAAAATAATAATCAAAAACCAGGGCAAAATTAAAACCAACAATTTTTTTTATTTCAAGTTTGCCGCTGTTCGACATTCAGTGGCTCAGAGGTGAAAATGTTTTTACACTTCACTGGCATCTTTGGTCTCCAGCTGCAGCAACATAGTTGGCACAAATTTACAAGCCTCAGGCACTAAACGGGCCCAGCCTCTCCTGCTCCACAGTAATAAATAAAAGCGCAATTAATGCGACTCACTCGTGTCTACAAACCACAATATTTCAGAATAAAGGGCAATCATGTTAGATTTTTCTTTTTTTTTTCTAACCAAAATAAAAAAACCAGGCTGGTGTAAACAGATTAATGTGAGTGGAGGGGAACAGCAGAACCTTCATGGATGACTGAGTGTTCATCAGTGTTGTCTGACGTGATGAGTTTAGCTGCTACTGTGTTACTACAGCAAAACGCTAAGATCTGGATCAAATAGTGGCGTGAAGTGGGCGGGCAGGACTTCTCATTCAATAGTAACGACACACCCACATGTCTCACATACTGTAGCATGCATTCCCATCGTGGGTCTACCTTTCTGTACCTGGATACAAAGCTGACATAATGTAAAAGAGCTGAAATCTTAAACACGGCTCGTACTGCCCCGTTTTCCACGCTCCAACCTGTCAACGACTTACCGAAACATGGCACAAAGCCAAAATGAGCTCACGTCGCACTCCCCACGAGCCACTAGAGCACTAAAACTTCACAGTGAAACGTAACCTTTACGTCAAGAAACAACCAGTCCCCGAACCCTCGCAGCTCCAACTCGTGGATTTAAAAACAGACGCCATTTTAATTCGGCGCAGTCTGGCTGTTGACTGCAGCTAGCTCGCATCCCCGACAAAAACCGACCGCCTGCGGTTTAAAGCTGCGCAGACATGCTCCACAAATCGGGAAACACAGGCATGTCTGCTACCATTATTCCTTTCAATTGCAAAATTTGATAATATCATGCACATTAACTGAGAATTTTGAATTTAAGTACTTGTCTGCTGCTCATCAGACACCAAAATGGTAGAGGAGACAAAACGAGACCCCATTGAAACCTCAGCTACAGTTAGCACTAGCATGCTAGCTTTGCCGAACAATGGCAAAAAAAGCTCAACATCTGAAGTCTACGAGCCCAGGACGGAATATACAGTCGAGCTTCTGAACTACTCTTGGTATTCAGCTTCCTTAGTATGTTCATTCCTAAATACTTAAAGTCATTATTTCGGAGCTTTTCTTGTTACTTACCGTTGTGTAGTTAACACAGCGCTTCACGCTAGCTCCCGGTCTCGGCAGCAGGAGCACAAATGGAAACGCCCACGATCTGGGAAGAGAATGGTGCTCATTGGACTAAATTTCCACGTGACTTGAATATTTACAAATAGAAAAGAGGAACACCGTCTTTGGGGCGTGTCTAATAATCAATTCTAAATTGATTATTCTAAACACTTGGCTGATTGATTCAGCAATGTTTGGGACTAATGTCACGACAGTTATCTTACATAACAAATATTCGTAGTCATTTCCACCGCTTGTGTGTTACTGTGAGAGATCTCCATAAAGTTTCCTCCACAAGAATAATGACAGTTATTTAAGGATTTGGTCTGAAAAGTAGTGGAAAAAGCTACTTTTCAAAAGAAAAAGTAGCTTTGGTATCTTGTATGAAAAAAGGGGTTGCAGAAATTATAAAGAAAATATCACAGAATACTTTTCTTGATCCAGATATAGTATTACAGTCTGGAATAGTCTTTTCAAATTAAAATTGTCTCACATCTTATCAAACTCAGTTCTAATCAGCTCACGAAAACTCGAAACATTTCAGCATTACATTGTTACTGCGCTGGTTATCTGGAAATCAAACAGTTGACTTTGACACACCATCAGATACTTTTTTATCAAAGGTCTATCACCAAGTTATCGTTATACATAATTTATGAAAAGTATTGTTATTTTTGTGATTCAGTTCTGTTCCAAGACTTCATGCAAACTTTGAGAAAAGCGCATTTAAGCACAATGTCAGACTCCGTGATTGGCTTTATAAAACAAATATTATTGCGACGCATATAAAAAAATCTATCATAGGGTGAGAGGCAGGGTACACACTGGGTAGGTCACCAGTTGTGTTGCAACAACACATAGTTTACCTTTTAGGGAAATATATATCCACATGAACCACTGCCATTTCTAAGGTTTTCCAACTCTTAAAATTACACTTCTCTCATTTATATGATGTAAGAACCCATATGTGGATTGACAAAAAGATTGATAACAATGACAAACAGCTTGTTTGTGTTTGTCCAAAAGTGCAAAATCAGACTAACAGTCCCATTAAGGCTGTGATGGAAAATTCTAACACAGACTGAACGACTCTGTTCCCATAAGATAACGAGTGGTTAAACTGAGATCTTTTAACTTTTGACCTTGAGGAGTTTAGAGTGGTAGCAGACACCTCCCTTTTGCTCTGGAATGCACAAAACTGTTTGAACAGCATTTTTTTTTTTTTTGTTCTTTTGCTGTGCAGCCCTGACCGCTTCACAGCAGATTAACCTACATAAAATTAATATGTTAAAGATTCACTTTCCCTCTTTGTTGCTACTGTCTTTAACTTTACTGTAGATTTTAAAAGCTAATGTTCACTAATTAACATTAAAGGTTTTCAGTTTGTAACAGTTGCTGTTGTAATGCAGTGTATCGCCGCATGGCGGCGCCTCCTGTCTCATGACTGGTGCGTCACCCCCGTTTTTGTTCTTCTTCTACCATCTTTGTAATGGATTCTTACGTGGGTACGCGGACTAGAGTGCTCTCAAGTAATGTGTGGTAGAGGTATAGCACTTTTATTTTTGATATTTTAAATAAATGAGTGCTTGTGGGAAGTTAGAAGCTGTTACTCATTCACTATCCATCTCCACCGCACGTTATAAGTTCAGGTCAAGAGCATCAAGTCACTCTATATTGTAAGCTTAAGACACTACCCCCCTCCCCTCCACAAATTGAAGCTTTTGTAAAAGCAAAGAAATCTGTGCTGGTTTCAAAAAATTTGGACAGAGTGATCCATCTGATGTGCTAAGCTAACCTGTTGCCTGCTGTGATTTGATCTTCTTGCCTATCTCCTAGCAAAAACATTGTGGTTTACTGCCCAAAATAAGGTTTAAAGGCTAAGTCTAAATTTGAAACTGAACCTAAAACATTCACAATAACTGCCATTATAAACTAAATTTTGGGAAATATTTTATAAATAAAGGAAACTTTTTCACATCTTGTACAAAAATGATCAAAATGAAAATTTAAAATGAGACAATACAACTTTTTATTACATTCCCTTTAAAAAAAGAAAACACAATGTCACATTCAGTTAGCTCTTGCAGCACATAGCTTCACTTCAGCCCCTGGACACTCGGGGAAAAGTAGATACACTACTGATACATTAACAAATACACAGTAAAGACGCTTATTCACATTCATGTCACAACCCTCCACTGTGCACATACGTGGAGTTTTTCACATCTTTTTGCTGTTGCCTAAGCATTTACACAAGTCATTTACATTACCCCAGAGAAGTAAAAGAAAAAGACAACATCAAAGGCCAAACTTTTTAGTTGAGATGTTTTCTTTAAGACTAAATAGTCTTTACTTTAGGAAATGGGAACACGGAAGAGTCCTGCTCATAGTGTCTTTTTTATTTTTTTTTTACATCTGCTTTCAAGCAGGACAAACTCTTCTCTTTACCGTAGTCAGCGTTTTTTCCCTTGTAAAACCACAAGAGGTTCTCCTTAGGCAGTAGGTGATCATCCAGCTCAGAACATTTGACATCCCCACTCACAATAACAGTTTTATTTAAACCGGGGCAGCTTATGCTCTTTTTATTTAAAACTTTTGGGATCAACTTTTGTTTTCTCTGAGTTCTGAAAGGAGCCGAAATCCCAGCGCCGGAGAGTGCTTCCCCTGAAGCTGGCCTGCTTTTTAGTGATGCGGTAGATTTTTCTGAGGATGGCACGTCTCAGCAGGATATAAACCCACGGGTCCAGGATCTGATTGCAGGTGGCCATTCGGACACCTGTCATCATGAGATGTTTGTAAGTCTCTTTGTCACTAAATGTGGAGCTGGTGTAGGACCGTACAGCTGATATCAATCCAAAGATCTAAAAAAAAGAAGAAGAACCTTTAGGCTCATAACAAATACATGCAAAGTTATGTGAGCTCATAAAATTCACACCTTTATCATATACTGCATCGGTATTGACTCTAGCTCTGTCAAACGTGATCAAAGGTCCCACACACTCACCAGCAGAGGGCTCCAGCAGATGCTGGAAGTGACCATGATTCCGACCAGCTGGACCACCATCTCCGTGTCATGAGACCTGGTCGTGTACCGCTGGGAGCAGGACCTCTTTAGCCGGGCTCTCACCAGTGTGATCCCGCTGATGGTGTTGCACACAAAGGCCAGGCCCAGCGAGCTCAAAGCCAGTCCAGAGAATAATATCATAAAGGCCAGATCTGTGGCTTTAGTGCCCTCCATCACCCTGATAAAGCACCAAGTCCCTGGGAACTGGGATGTATAATCACCAAGACTGATGAAAGGTAGAAGTGCTACACACAAAGCTAGGAGCCAGATCAGTATTAGCGCCATCTTTGTCCGAGCTGTGGTCACCAGACGAGCGTGCAGCAAAGGACTGGTGATGCCCAGGCAGCGCTCGGCGGCCATGGCACAGCCTAGGAAGAGTGGGCACAGGCCAAAAAACACCATGCACCCCCCCAGAAACAAGCAGGAGGCGTCTTGATCTGTAGAATTATCTTGAAAACTAGAGCCCAGGCCGACTTCTGCCTCTGTGCTTGTAGAGTATCTACTCAACACCAGGGATCCGGGGATAACATGTCCAGCCAGATCTGTGGCAACCAGGGAGCTTGCAAAGAGCAGAAACGACGCCTTTGTCCGCCGACGGAAGCGGTTGTAAGCCTTGACAAGAATGATGAGGGCTACCACATTGAAAATGATGCCCAGTGTCATAGTTAGGCCAGCAGCTGTGGGGTTGCTTCGGGGTTGGGTGGTGTTTTTTGTTACTACGGCCTCCATCTTAGGCTCTTTTGCCACGGCGGTGTGGTTAGAGAGGGGAAGTAAGGCACTAATGCCTGAGGAGTTGGAGTGCTGCATTGCCAGCATCACCACCGGACTCTCGAACTGATGTGGGTCTTTTAGCTGTGGACACACTGAGAGGGGAAAAAAGGATTGTTAGCATGTTCTTAGGGTCTTCCCTCTGACTTACAAGCATAAACGTGAGACTCAAAAGCTTCCTAATTTAATTCATTTTTGAGGAATAACAACTGTAACTGCACAAACCACCAGATATCTAACCAGTGTCTCAAAACTGACCGATTCATGAGGGGAAGAAAAAAAAAAAACCTTAAACAAGTTCTGATTTTTACTTTCAATCCAGTTGATAATTTTAGGATTTTTTTCAGCTGTAACATTTCTATCCCACCCACATCTGAAGAATACATATGACCTGAACGATGCTCCAACTTGTCTAAATTATGCAAATTGTTATGCATGACTGTCCACCACCACATAAATCCACTATGACCGAGCAGCATAAACTCGTTGCAGCTATTTATACCACTGGTCAGCATCACAGCTGGCCAATAGTTTAAATCAAAAAAAAGAAAACCCAAACAAAAACCCTAATCCTCAAGATCCACACCCAGTCCACCCTCTACTTGCTCTCTGAGAACATTCAAACAGCTCTTTCACGTGTTTAATCACCACGTACCCCTGGAGGACCAGCAGGTGTGTGTACATGGGAACAGTGTTAAAATAACAACAACTTTTTATTTACCGTCTTCTCAGTTAGAGCAGGCGAAAGGTGCTCGGGATAACGTGACTTACATTTCGAGAGCCACAAATTTGTTCTGGGCACCCTCAGACGGCTCGGAGCAAATAGCCTCCCTTATCTTTTCATACTAGTCGAGAAGAGAAGTCTGAACAAGTTCTGACAGCCATCAAGACACTGCTACACACATTCCTTTAAAGTGTAGTTGCAGTACAGCAGAGACAGCAACACAACTATCACTAGGTTAAATCAAAACAGAGGAAATCATACATGCAGACTCGCGCAGAGACAGCAATCTATACACAGGGGAGAGAAATTATGTCTTCTAATCTAAACACTTTGAGAGTCCATCTGTCCATCAAAAGACATTTAAAGATTTAGTTGTGGTTTGTTTCTTTATCTGAACCCCATATTATTATGTGCCTGCTAACATATCATCAGAAACATGAGTAAAAAAAGAACTATTAAAAAATGCTGAAAGCCCATAAGGACACACAGAAGTTTAGGTTAGTCGTTTCTTTTACATTTTTAAAGAGTTTGCTTTGAAGTTGTCAGTCATAGGTTTTCTATCTTCTGATATAAAAGAAGAACAAAACACACACACATTTTTTCATGTAAAGTTAACATTTTAAAAGCTACTCTGCTTACCTGTGCAATGTAAAATCCATGGGAATGATCGGGATCACTTTGATTTTGACGCTCAGTCACCTTCGATGCATGTGAAAGCACGTTAATCCAAGCTGTTTTTTTATTTTGTCTTGTTCCCAAAAGGAGAACGATGACTCCTTCACCTGGAGTGTTTCCTCATTAGAAAACTACGTAAGGAGCTCCTCTCTCAGAACAAGCAGCCTCTCTGTTGCATTGCACAAGCATGTTCTCTGTGAGGCGCGAGTGCGACTGGCTGCTTTTATACTAAAGAGCTGCACCGTGCACACACCGCCTCCGGGAGTCTTAGTCATTGAAAATCACTTATTTCCTGCAGACAGACTTTCATGAGTGCAAGGAATGAACGGGCTAGAAATCCCATGTCCCACATATGAATATTTTAAAATCCGGCTGTCTCGGGCTCCACCTCACCAAACAATACAGGGGCTCAAATGTTAAGCCTACAACTATGTATAGATTCTGAAATCTACATGGACAGACCTGCACAATTCTGCAGGAATACAAAAAGCTTCTTTAGAGTGTCTCTTTTAATGTGCAGTGATGAAGCTGCTGACTGAAATAAATCTGACTTTGTATGGCAGCAGTCTTCTAAGGATGTTTCAAATTATATTTTCTGTCACCGCTAGAAAGATGACTCTTTATATTAAACATATTAAACCAAAGTGTCAAAGAACAAACCCACAGTTTGCACGAGTAATTCAATATGAGCCCCCTAAATTCCCCATTTCAGACACTTTTTTTCTTCCCTTGACTCTTTATGATGTCATAGAGAAGGGCTAGCCCTCTGCTGTGAGGACAGAAGTGCCCCTAACTTGCTGTTTAAACCTTATATTTTTGTGAGGGGCAAGTCAATCACATGAAAGTTGGCTTAATGGCAGGGCGAAGCGAGTGAAAACAGCTTGTTTCAGACTACGGGTGAACTGAGGGGCTTGCAGCATAAAGGCTTATTTTGCATTACTCAAGTTCAAGACACAAAACATTAAGTTAGAAACGATTAAAATGCCTCCTTTGATTTACTTTAACCTGCATTCCATATTTGCTTTTGCTGCTAAAGAGACGTGTCCGTGTCTGTTGATCCTTTAGAAATTACAACACGCACTCCGTTCTCCAGAGACTCATCTGAACAACATCAGCAGCTCTGTGGTCAGCTCTCATCAATGTAAACCAGCTGTGCTCCCACCGATACAAACATGTCTGCTTCAACCTCTGGGGCCCACAGCTGCAACACCGTGATTTTCCAGTTCGCCAGAGGACCAGACAGACTGCTGATAATAAACTGCTAAGACTGCACTCAGTTGATGAAAAGAAGGTATCCGGAGCTACTCGGATTTCCAACATCGCCAATCGGCCGTATCTCTGCACTTAAGAAACTAATGAAATTCCTCTTCGAGCAAGAGGACGTGTTATTATACTGTTACCTTATATCAAAACAGCATGAGGAATCTGCTGTCAAATGATAAGGCTAATGTACACAATACACCTCTATGTTCCTAGACACAATGCTGCTGCTGTGTGTGTGGAAAATCTGCTTTGACTGGCAAGGAAATGAAGTGAGGAGTGTGCACGTATACCAGATCAGTTCAATCAAAAAAACACAAGTGCTGTTTCACATCTAAGCTTGTGAACTGCATGTGTAAGTGTCCCACTGAATGACACAGCATGCCATTAGAGATAGGTGCAGCTAAAGCACCATTAGCTTGGGTTAATGCAGTCCTGTCCGGTTTTAAAACCTTGCACACATTTAACTAAATGGATGAGTTCAGTATTCACGAATGGGAAAGAGCTTGGGTGGAGAGACGGAGGTGCAGATGAATGATCCACTGTTAGGATGGTTGGACAGGAAGTTTGCTGTGGGGAACAAAAAAGGAAAGGTTGCCAACTATGGACCGTTTTCCATCTACAGAGCTACACCACAATGAGCCATAACTGTGACCTAACAGGACATCATTTTCTTTCCCCCTTTTTTCTTTAGTAGCAAAAAAACAGACTGTTAAAGGTCTGTAACAACACGTGCACTCATGCTGTGATCAAATATGCCAAAAAGATGTTTATTTTTCTTCTTTTTAGGCTTTATGAGTAACCGAGTCCAATTACAGTGCTATACAAAAATGTGTTTTATTTAGCCGTAAACATTTAATTCCAGATCGCATGCCAAAACATACTTTAGGGAGAATGTTTCCTTGAAGATGCAAAACGAGATCAAAGTAAAAGCTAACAAAAAAACACCAAAAAAGGTGGCTTTAAAAACATCTTTTCCATCTCTGGATGTGTGCTGGGCTGTGTACAGAAAACTGCACAACAAAAACAGCTGTAAGTACGCCTTTCATGTAATTTTGTGTCACAGTGAACAACAGACGTCAGCTAAGCAATAATTCTTACTGTTCTTAAAACAAACTCTACTTGATACCTTAGATACCAGAAGGCCCACCCATGCCAGCGGTCATGTTTTGGACCTTGAACGCCTCGCCTCATTGCACAGGAATCTTCTAGGCTGAATGGCGTTGCCCGTGGCCGAATATAAACAACAAGAGTTCATTAGAAACACTGACCTTTGCAGGAAGTCCCATGTTTTCCTGTATTTACTCCTTGTTTGGACGTCTACTGAAAAAGTCAGTGCCCCTTCATCGTGGTCTGTCTACAATGAGGATCATTTTGTGACAGTTTCAAGTATGATGAGGTTTAAATGCTGCTTGTTTGTCAGACTGATATCTGGAATTTATTTAGTAGGAAACCTCATAATTGCCATGTTTTAGAAACGACATTTTTGCATAATTGCACATGTTTTGCTGTTTGGTTTGGTCTAACTCAGTGAAAGTGCGTTTGTCGAAAACAGAGACTAGAAAGTTTGGAGAAATTTTGACTTGCACTTTGCTTTAAGGCTCTGAAGACTTCCTCCATCTTTACCGTAACAATTTCAGTACATAAATGAATGCAGTGTGCAGTGTATGTACAATTACACAGACAGCAGCATCCTGATGTCATTGCTCGCTGTCGTTTCTTCTGAGCTGTGTGGTTGCGACGCCTTTAAGCTTTTATGTTACTGAGGAACATTTTTTTCTTGAAAGTGACAAAACAGAAACAACTCTGCAAAATAACAGTGTGGGTGGCCATTTCTGTGGAACTAGCCCCTATTAATCTTCACAAGTCTCTTGGTTCTTCTTCTTCTTCTCTTCTTCTGCTCCTTTTTTGGTAAAAAGCCTTTAAATGCTGTCAGTGTTTAAAGAGGTGAAGCTCAACTAATGGCAAAATATTAAGTTAAAAGGGAGTATACAAAAAATACTGGGCTGAGAAGAGGATTTCATTTTTTGTGGGTTTTTTTGTTTATTTGTTGTCCATGGTGGCCTAGACAGGCACACACACACACACACACACACACACACACACACACACACACACACACATAAAGCTCACAGAACAAAAACAGTTACAGGGGAGACAATAACGCGATGAACCAGCAGCAGAAGTGACAAGCTAACAGCTAGCAGATAATAGCAAACATATATCTACAGGACTGTATGACTCGTGTAACTAAAACACACATTACCTGCATGTTTTTCTCCTCATGATTCAAATGATTTTGATTTTAGTTTCTGTCCCTTACACACTACACTTCCACAGTGCTCCATGAGATTTTGTTTTTTTCTACTTTCATGGTGTTTTATCCAACTTCTTTTTATTCAAGTTTAGAATTATATACCCAAAAGACACCAACGGAGTCACCAATTAGCCACCCATATGCTATGTAACTGAAAAAACCTGTGATGGACCAAGCAGTGAAGGAAAGTCGGACACAGGTTAAAGTCCATTAAAGGTTTTTTATTTAACCCCAAAACAAAATTGGTTAAACTACACAGAACATTTTTAAACTTTGGCCCATAAAAGAGGTCAAAATAACAGAATTCTACTCAAAAACTGGCAACAAACGATACTGCTAACTAAAAAAACTGACCTACCTAACCAAGATACAGGAGAAACTTAAATAGTGGCTGATCAGCCCACAAAAACTCAAAAGGAGTAAAACCACAAAACCTAACTAAAACAAATTCTATTCCCCCCATGGTCCAGAATTGTGGTATGACCCAATTGGCAGGCTTGCTCCGCCCCTTTTCCACCTCCTGGCTCATCAATCAAGGGACCGGAGCAGCTGCCACAGACATAAATCATAAATACATAACAGTGTAAACTAAAATGCGCACACTTATTTTAGAATAGAGTATTATGTGAGTATGTAAATTAATTCTAAACCAAAACCAGTTATTTATTATCCTGTAAATAAAATCTTATATTTAAAGAAAGAAAAATGTGAGTGTAGTGTTATATGTAAGCCTCTACACTGATATTTGGTGGATATTTCTACTGTGTGACTATAACTGCAGCCACCACAAAAAGCAATAAACAAAATATTAAATATTCCAAACGTTTTCGTCCATTTTGACATAAAAACTAATAATGACATTGGAGTTTACATTCATATGAGTTGTAATGCTGATAATCCACCGTAATCAAAACAATGCAGGGGCAGCAGATCAGCCAAAGTCAAAGAACACTGCCACACACTTCCTTAATTGTTTTGAGGTTTGTTGCTTTATTGATCGCTTTGATCATGAAACTGTTCAGCTTCTCCTCTTCCCTGCACGCAGCAGAGCCAAACAATGATCTCAGAATCCCTCTGAAAGGCGTGACAACCTGATCAGAACCACAGCGTTTCATCCAGGAGGCCGCAAGCTCGAGAGAAAACATCGAAATATCAAAGGTCTCCCTAAAGATCCTCGCATGTTGAGTTAAACACACCTTCAACAAGTGACCAGCAAACCACACTGTTCCTTAATGTAAGTGAACAGACTTATCACTTACATTACAGACTTACAGACTTATCAAGGCTCTTTCATGAAGAAACGGGAGACTCTAATGGATCATAATCAGTTTTATGAAATTAGAATACAACTCAAACATAGACTTTGACTACATGCAAATATAGTGATGATGTAAGGTCCACAAGTACAAATGGGTGCTTATAAAATAATGACATTGTTGTCAAATTTGCAGCCAACAGAAAAAAAAGAAATCAAGGAATAAAGAGGTGTCCAAGATCTAACATTTGTTGCTGACGGTCACCACGGAAACACAAAGATATCTGACGCTGCTGAGAAACTTTCGACCCTCCTACTGTACAGATGTCCAAGACCTTCCCGGAACAGTGATGGTATTTCTTCCAGAAAACTGATGGGTGTTGATTTAAGACTTGCTGATCTCTAATCTTGAGGGTCACAGTTACCAGTAAGAAGTGAACCACCTTCAAGGTTAATCCTGAATTTA